GTCTGGATATATGTCTGCAAATATTTCTGCACCAGAAAATGCAGAGAAAATATTTTTCCTACAATAAACAGTGTCATATCATCCAAAGGCCAGCTGAACCAAAGGCACAGAGCTCTCAGTGGCAATTTTGCATAAGTGACATGCAATCAAAAAGAGCAAGTCTATCCATTCATAATTCATTTTTTTTTTTTGCATCATCACAAACAAGGGAATCGTATCACGGAGAGTTCCAACAGCGGCTCTGGAGAGCAGCGGAGAGGTGTAAATCACACACCGTGAGCTGAGAAAGAGACTGTTCAGACTCAAATACAGAGTATAGAGGAGAAAGAAAAAAAAAGTGCAATAATTGCAAAGAATGCAATTCTAATTATGGGTAAAACTACATTGCAGAGCTATTTGTTTTGCGAATTAAAAAGTTCAAATATAAATAAAAATGATAGGCCTATTATGATCATTTTAAATATATATTTTTCATTTATAGAATATATATTATCTAGATATATCATATATTAGTATAAATTAAAAAATAAATTTGTACTTTTTTTGTAAGTATTTGTTTCAGAGTGAACTACTCTGCAGAAACGATTACTTTAATTTAATAGAAAAATACAAAAAGGGAAGTATTCCTGAATATTGGGATATTCAGACATAACCAAATAATGTAATCAAGTATCAGGCTTGTGGCAAAAATCAAATCCGGCGAACAAATGTGTGACTAAAAACACAGGCACAGTAGTGGAGAAGCAGAGGTAGATTTAGAGATCTTTTAAATAAACAGTCCGCTGCACCCTGCCACGCCAGCACTGCTCTTCTTGATCGCCTTCCAGTTGGAAACATTTCTTAAAGCCTTCCCGGCAGAGCCGACCCTGCCAAGAGCAGAGGTTCTTCTCAAAATGACCTACTACTGTGACTTCAAACCCTAGGGCAGAAGACAAAACTCTCTCCCCGTTGGAGACAAAGCAGCAGATCTGCTAGCATCTGAACCCGTATTTTACACAGACAATATCAAGACTAGACACAAAAAATGTTTTTATGTCAGGTAACAGCATTCTGAATGACTCGAACCATGACTTATAAGATCTCTTCCAACACAGGAGTACGTATAAAACGTATTTTGTCTTTGCGCGGTTGATTAAGCTATTCCAGAAGTCGGAGCTGTTTTTTGTAAGGCTCATTTAAAAAACAAGACTCCAGAGGGTGATTCAGGCACTCGTTGGACCACATCTCATCTAGAAAACAACGAAAATAAACTTCTCTTCTGGTGCAATACACTGGCATGGATGAGAGAGCGAGGCTGCGGGCTCAGGTGGAATCCAAACACATCTTCACAGAGTAAATATTTAGGGTTGCTCACCATTCTCCCCGCAGAGGAACCTGGGTGTGATATGAAACGCAGCCAACCTTCCACAGACATCTCCAGCTCTGGCCACATGAAGTCCTCTACTCATGCCAAGAGCTCGGGCCTTTATAACTGAGGCTACTCTTTGTGCCCGACTCCCCTCCTTTCCTCTGCCCTCCCCCTCCCCTAAAAATCTCCTCGATGTCCTCTAATGAATATCAGCCACTAGGATCAACACATGAAAGCTAATGCTCCACTTAAGATTCTGACCCTTTTTTCCAAAACGCTCCCTGACACAAATAAGCAGCCGAATGTCTAAAAAAGTTGCGATAAATGCAGCCCGGATGGTAAGCGAGGAAGAGCGGGTGATCAAAACAGTTTAATTAATCTGTTAACGGGCACATTGGGAGCTGCCGCGGTGGGACGCGACCATGACTGTGCCACTCAGGGCTGTCAGACGAAAGTGGGGCATGCATTTCTGAGCCGAGCGAAAGAGCAAACACTCTCCTGACGAAAAAAACCCTCAGGCGGGCAGGCATGCACACACACACAAACATGGACAGAGAGGACCAGTGGATTACACCACAGGGGGGTGTTCTGGGGCATTTGAGAGCCCAAAAGCGACACTTCAAACACAAAGTGCCCGACCATGGAAAGGGGTGGAGAACATTTCAGTGCAAATTAAATCAGATCCTGGTAAGACTGGCTTCCCATGCACATGATGAGCACAACTTAAATACTGATATGAATTGTGAAAATAAAGTGTGCATTCGTTTAAAGAACAAAACATTTAGATGAGCCATTTCAAGCCCAAATAGAAGAAAAAGGCTCCGTTCTGGAATATTTAGCACTTAAATAAGAAAACTAAAATGCAACGCAGAGCAAATCTTATTATCAGCACATTTTCAAATGTATAGTATTTTGTCAGTCAGCGCAGTCAAGTGAGAGTGTCTCAGAAAGGCTCGGCGCTTTGATCGGCCCTCCTCTTCTTTCCCGGGGGGGACTAATTGCGGCTCTAAAGGAATGAATCGATGAGGAATGGGGGCAGGACAGCATGTTGCCAGCTCAGGGGAATAGAGTCTCCCACTGATACTACTCTACACTGTTGGCAAATACGCTCCAAACTGGGTCTGTCCAAACTAAATACATTTGATCAGTATCTGGATTAATAATTTAAAAAAAACATAGAAATTGGCTAACACTCTTTAGTTTTAGTCATTTTCACTTAAACAATTAGCATTTCCTTCCTGACCTTTGTTCAGCCTAAATAATAAAATAATAAAATAATTTTTTTACAACTATTATTTCTGAGAACGTAAAAGTAAAAACACACTAAAGCCTACACATCAAAGGTCCGTCAAAATGTTTTATTTCTTCACCAGATCTTAAGTTTGAGACGGATGGTGCTTACTGTAGACAGAATTGTTATAACGATAGCATAAGGAACAGGTTCGGAGCTTAAAACTTTTTTGTTGTGAAGTGTCTGTGTGCAACGAAGCTCTGAGCGATAGGCCCTTCTGGCTGCCAGCGGGACTGCGGTGGAGTCTGGCACACGCCTCATCTGTCCCTCTCGCTCTCTCTCAGCCCAACACACTCACTCAGACTACGGCCAGAACCTCTGTGCACACCGCGCGCTCTCCCTCGAACGCTGCAGGCTGCTATATTACATTATCCTATCAGCAACAACAAAGAGGTAGTGGACATGCCGAGCGGTTAGAGAGAAAACCAAGGCCTCCACACTGCTGGCTCTCAATACGACTTACACAAACCGGATCTGTAATGTAGCAGAGATTATTTCATTCCTAAATATTAACCTGCAGATCAAATGTGTTTTGGAAGTGTTCAGGTGGAGCAAACTATTTTGTTTTAACAAGTTTTAAGATTTTACAGCTGTGCTTGATAGTTTATAATTCACTTAAACAACATTTAGTAAAGTTACACAACTGCAAAAGTGGATTATGGTTACTTTATGTTTAGAGTTTGCTAATCCAAAATACTGAAACAAGCGTCTTTCATATAGAATCAAAAAACACAGTGAGTACTGAAACCCCATTTAATTCATTTAATAATAAATTCAAGCGCTGCAGGGTGAGGCGTGTAATTGTATTGTTACCTGTTTGAACACATTCACTAAGAGCTGAAAAGTACAATGCATATTTGTGTGACTTAAAAACCCAAATTCTAATTAAGTTTTCCCAAGCAGTTATTAAAATAAAGTTTGAAATGAACTTCAAACTGAATTATACCACAAGATAAACTGTCAAAAAGCAGCTGCTTTTTACATTTTCAGTGTCAAATCGACAGGTTTAATGGACTGCCATTATGTCTGTCAAAAAAGTATGGCCGTTTTTTCGAATCAAGCCTATGGAACAACTTTATTCCTGTGCAGAGATCTAAAACTTTTTCAAACACTTTTCTCCTTACAAAATCTTTCTCATATACAAAGGCTAAACTGCAACAACTTCACGACTTCAGGCTGTATTAATTTTACATTTTAAATATTTGAGCATTATTTTTTACATTTACATTTCTAAGTGAAAAGATGAACCATGTTTTAACAGGGGAGTGTCCTTGCTAAAAAACAATGTGAAATTGAAAACAAACCGAAATCAAAATAATTCACTATTGATTGCAACTTTCTCATCAAAGCCAAAGTCAAAGCAATCATCGGCCATCTAAATCATAGTGACTCGTGTCAATATACAGTAAGGCAATCTGAGACAGTTAAGTGACCTTAAAACCCCTCTGCCTCAATTCAGACTTCAGACTGCTGACAAAAATACTTTTGAAATACTATCACACTTGCTTAAAGCCTGAGCACTATCACACTGCATAAAATGCTACTATTTTCTGAATAATTCAGTTATAAGTAATACACGAAAAAGGGCCGATGTCTGGCAAGCCAATGTTATTCTTTCCAGAATGTTTCAGTTTATCTCTTTAAGTGTCTGGCTTTGTAAAATTGAGCAGACTAATAAAATACTTCAATAAACATTTAGCTATATCCTAATAATTGCAAACTTAAAAAGACGACACAAGACGAGCTGAAAGCACAGTCAGATATCCAAAATCTCTCTGTAACTCTTAATATTTTGTAAACAATAAATCCATCAAAGTTTTAATAGTCTTTAAATAGAATATATACATTAAATTGTCCTCTTATAGGCAAGAACTGAAATAACCTTAAAGTATATATGAGCACATAGGCTAAGTTTATACATTTTGATCCAATCAAGATAAAAATCGACAAAAGTAGGCTATACACCATTATATAAATGCAAAACCAAATTTTCAACTGTAATAAAAGTTTTATTTTATCTTAACTATGATCATGTAGGCCAACTTTCCCCTCTAGTTTATGATTAAGAATAAAGCAGATGACACACTCAAATGTGTACTATAAAGCATAGGCTATAAACTCAATCTTAAATAAAACGATAAACAACGATTCATGTTACCTAGTCAAGTTGATGTTTGACTTTGTTAACAGTGTAAAATTTAATAATAGAAAAAAATTGATCAATTCAATAAACTAATACGCACATTGCTATAGTTTTGTGTTGTATAAAAGAGAAGCACAGATCTCAGCCCGCCCTTTATCAACCGAAATCTCGTGCGTTCAGGAGCAATTCGTTCAGAAAGAGACAAATAAGCACTTTACCTGAGTTAGACAGAGAGGAGAATACATCATGTTGAAAGGGGAGCGCGTGACTTGAAAATGTGGCAAAACACCGACAAGTTAGTGGATCATTTTTCACAGTTAATCATGGTAAGCCTCATCATGATTAACACTTCCACCGCCGCCACTTCTGACTTCCACTTGGAGTCCGTTAAATCAAGGGACGCCCGGCAAAAGAGAACGCGCAAACTGTGTACACGTTTGAAACCAAACTTTGCAGGCAGGAAAACGCGTGGGGTGCTGCAATCTGTTCCATTTAGGAAATGGTGGGAGAAAGAATCAAAGAAAGAGACAATGTTTTCAACAGAGGGAGGAATGAAATGACGTTATGAAAATAGCCCATCCCAAAGAAAGTACTTGAAGGAGCAAAAAAGGCTAACTCTGGCTTCCACTGTCCAGAGGCATCCGTTGAGTCCGTGAAATGAACAAAAAACGTTATTTGCCTCGGTTTCTGAAGCTCATATGGTGCGTAACAAACTGGCAAACGACTTTCTCCCCGTTTCACCAATGCGCACGCACCGCTCTCCCCTCTCGCGCTGATCCAGTTCGGGCGCAGCAATGCTCTGCGGGCTTCACCCGCGCGCGTATTCCAAACACTTTTACTGCAACACACACCAGCTAAAGTAGCGATTAGAGCCAGGCTCGCGCGGACATTGCGTCACAGAACGCGCACATGCATGCATCCATTCATGACAAATTGTCCGAGGCGTTTCGCTTCATGACATGTGAGAGGAGTGGATTAAAAAAAATGTCCACCCCGCGTAAAATAGCCTACTATTGGCAGTGTCTGATAAGGCGCAAGTTAGCTTTACACACAGAAGAAAGCTGCCTCAAGTAAAATAAATAATTAAATAAACACGGTAATGACTTCAATCGGTAACTTAATTTACTGAAAAAAAGTCTAATTATGAATAGTAAATAGAAGATCATGCGCGCGATTCTAAATTCACTTCATTTAGCCATATAGCCTAACTTTCATAAAGCTACTGCGAGAAAAATAACTCGATATCTATACTAACTAACAAGTACAAGTAGCTAATAATCACTCGATATATCCACATCAAGGACTTTGAACGTGTTCTTTTGGAGTTTACTTGAACCTTTGTAGAAATCATGTTTAACTTTGTTGGAGTGATCACACGGAGATCAAATAAACTGTGCGACAATTGACTTAAATTAAAGTTTAAAAGCAGGCAGGCTATTAAAACAAACAGGGTAAATAACACCTGTTATGTCTTTAGAATTGGCACTGAAAAGTGTGCACTAGTTGTGAACTACTACGACCGAGAGCTGACTATCAATCACACTGCTGAAACCCCGACGCCTCAAAACATTATAATTGTGCATAATTAGAAAAGAATCATTTTGTATCCTTAAAACTATTCTGAAACTGACACATATTATTATTCATTCTTGATCACTAGAATAGGCCTATATATTTTAAAGAGAAAGAATAGATTTGAGTATGTAGTACAATTTGAACATATAGCCTAGCCCTAAATATAAAACAATTATAAAAGGCTGAATTATTAGGCTACCTAACCCAAAATCTGAAGGTGAAAGAAAGACGTATAGCCTACTTCCTGAAAGTATGACATAAAATGAAAATATCCCCCAGAGAGAAAATAGCTATCCTTTATTTTAGGATTATATTTGTTGTTAATATATGCACAAATTAACAGGTAACAGCAGTGACTAAGACAGCTATTAAGTCTGTTGTTGAATGTCTTCCCTTAAAGGGAAAGTCTAATTTAAAAGATGTCATACAACTGTACTTTGATATAAACAACTGAAATTCATGTAGCATTACATATTTGCATAATCAATTACTTGCCTGAATGCCTGAAAACGTGGAACTACAACATAGCACTTGTAAAAGTGTATCAAACTAAATGTTACTATTCTGTAAACAATCACCCCGGGTCAAATCAATTTTTGGCACTGTCTCGTGAAGCATGTTTACATTGTTTTATTTAAAGGTTAAGTTTGCAACTGCCACGCGAACATGACAAGTAACTGCAGTATCTCGCACTTTCTGAAACAATGCCGAACTACCGGCTGTGACTTCGGCGCACTAACTGAGACTTCTGCCGTGGAGGGAGCGCCTCTGTCGGCGTAGATGTCAAATTCATGCCGGCGAGCCTGCGGCCATTTTCTGCTGTGCAAACTCGAATGCTGGGCATCTGCCTCTACTGGCTTTAAACTTCAACTTGGCCTTCGGTGTCCCGTGGTTAACACACACACACACACACACACACACACACACACTCACACGCATTTTTTTCTTCGGCTGTCACAAAACAAATAACTTTCATTGCAGGAGAAAAGCCCAATCGCAGGGTAGCTAATGTTATCTTAACCATTGCACGTCTCAATAGAGAAAATAACGCGCCAGCATTTTAAGCCTTTCCCACAAAACCTTGTTTGGCCGAAAACCAACGAGAAAAGGAGTAACCGGCTGGAGAGGAAGCAGAGGGAAAACCGAAATGCGGCGCCTGTGTGTTGATCTCATTTGACTTCAAGAGTGCACAACTCGTGATCTCCCTCGTCTTTTGGAGCAACGACATAATAATGATGAAACTGATTTGTTAACGTACCATTTCGAAGCGAAACTGCCAACCTCCCCCCAAAAAGTTACAGCTTCGAGGTTTTCGTAGTTGTGCAGTTCAACGCTTGGTCATCTCGTCGGGTGCTTTTATAACTCCGTATCCATTTCTCTTCGCAAAGAAGTAATCCGTGCTCTTCGGATGGGAGAAATAATAAACCCGGACACTGACCAAATAGAAAACGTCCCACGCGAAGTCTTCAAGCCTTGTCCAATCGGAAATCCTCGTTATAAGGTACAGGAGGACAAAATAAAGGATTTTACTGTAACGTTAATGCACGGCTTGCTGCAGAGTGCACTGGCTGAAGGTGCTGGCTGTTGTTTTGGTCGTGTATCTTTAATTTACAGTGCTGAATCGTCGGTCTTATAGCTTTGCAGCATTGCACATGCAGTACGCATAGATGTCCTTGAGTATTGAGAGGAATCAATGTTCTTTTGTTTCTTACAACACGAATGGCAACACAGACGCTGTTCTGAGCTCCATACACACATCTTACGGTCCTGGCGGAGAAGGATTTGATGAAATACGGGGGTGGCGTGAGTGTGTGTGTCTCTCTCTGTGTGTGTGTGTGCAGTGGAGCAACTCGCTTAGAAGAACTGCACTTGATGGCGTAGTTTATGTGTAGGCTTATAGGCTACTTTATTTATGGGTCAGTTTTTGTCATCCGGTATTCAGAAACATATTAGGCTATATAATGTAATGGACGAAATGACTGCAATACATTCATCAATGCATAGCCTACATTATGAGCATGTCTTCAAATTCGGTTCAGGTCATATTGAGTTGGCTAATTCTAAAAAAAACTACTGTGGAGATGCATGACCGAAAAAAAAGGAATTACTTTTGTAAAGTAAACACATAAAGAACAACCTTAAAAATGTTTGGGGGGAAAAAAAATCCAAAGTTAATTAGAACCAAATTATATAGCCTAACTATAGTGTAGGCTATATGTTCAAGTTGGCTATAGGCCTCTTTTTACTTGATGGTTTAAAAAATTTGATCATTTGGTAAAAAATAGCTTATGCTTAAATAATGCATAGAACTAAATAACTTTTATATCTTTATTTATAATTGGACACAAGGCTAAGAATGTTAAACCAGTGATGACACAACAAACACAAAGTGCTCAAATAACTTCAAAACCTGATTGTAGAGTTGTGCCAATCCTGTCGCCAAGATAAACAATAGTCATATCAATAAAAAATAAATCTGTCTCAGTGTGCGTGCGTAAAGCGCGCGTGTGCATTTGTTTTGTGGACATGGGCGTGTGTGTCTAACTTTATACAAAACAGAACAAAATCATTATTCTCAAATGTATTTGCTTTGAACGAGTTAAAATAAACAAGGTTCACTACAACCTTTGTCATGGTACCGCAATGCCAGCATCCCTTGAAATTGCGTTTTAAGGCTAATTGAAGGGGCCTTTAGTGACAACTGTCGGTTACAAGACACCTTGCGCATTTAGAGCATAAACAAACTAAAAGGCAGGTAGGCCTAGGAAAAAATAGTGGTATTTTATATGTAGCCTAATGTGCGATTTAGGCTTGCATGCAGAAATAAAATTATAAGCTTGTCATTCTTGGCTCCGGCCGATAGTGTCCAATGAGGAACACGAGAGGTTAAACATTTGGCTTTAGAGTTCAGGGAGCTGTAGCTTTTTCCAAGGAAGAAGAAAAGCAAGGCTGAAACTTCGACAACATTAAATTACACTATTAAAGGTTTACTCTTTGAGCACTGCACAGGTGGCCCACACTGTGTGAAAAAGCACATATAGGCTAAGCGAAAAACCGCGAGTTCGTTAAACCTCTATTTGCTTATCCTTCCCGTCATTTGGCAGGCTTTTTTGAGAAATAGCCTATCTGAGTAGATATATATAAGATTCAATATGTCGCAGTGGGTCAATATGAAAGTATTGGTCAGTGAATATCAATGTTTATGTGTCTCTATTTAAATAATATGATTAAAAAGGACATTTATTTAGGCTACTTGTTATATTTTGAAAGACGCGATTTTTTAATGCTATTTGCAATTATTAATATTCTGAAGCATAATTTAATAAAACGAAGAATTAAGCTTCATTTGCACAACTTTCCTATATGAGCAAAGTTTCAAATGCATATATTCAGATATGAAAACAACAAATATCTGGCTAATGAGATAAAGCCTAATTTTAACTTCAAGCGTTTTTTGTACACTATTTTAACACAAGCTAAATAGTATAATTTCCTATGTATCATAGACTTATTTAGTAAATAAAATACACTTTATTTTACTTTTAGCCTATTAGGCCTACTTATTCCTTAACTCAAGCCTAACATTTCGGCCGCATGCCTGGAATAGCCTAAAAATAAATAAACATGCTAATTATATAAGCTCTGTTATATTGAACATGTTGAAAGTGAGCTATTTTAAAGAATCCAAATACGTTTTTGCCTTCCTTCTAAAACAAGACTCCAAAATCCACATGTTCTCGTGTAGCCTATTTGTTGGCAACTTTGAAAGCATTCGCGTATTTTGGGTCGCATCATTCATTCCCCATGCGCTTTAGTTTCACCCACAAAACTTCGGGCTTAAAAAAAAAAAACTTCTGCTCCACTCTATGAAAACAAACAGACTTTGTCTTAAATATTACACTTTGTTTATAGATCTAAATTACATTTTGGCAAACTTAAAATCATTAAGGTGCTGATCGCCCGATGACTACGTGGGTTTACAGTCTTATTTGTGCGTACGCACCAAAAGCAATAGGCTAGACTATATTGTTATCCTATAGAGCACTTAATTTCTAATTCTAACTTTATAAAGTATGACAAACACACATCCCACAAACAAAATCTTTAAAGTCAAAAACAAAACAAAAAACTTATTGACACACAAATCTACTATTCCTTTTTTACAGTCAAACCTGAAAGCACCTGAAAGACAAAGAACAGGCAATCATTTCATCCATTTAAGAAAAGTGTGACAACGCATAAATGGCCAGCACCACAGCGAGGATTTGCTGTAAATGAACCACAGGTGCAAGATCATCTCTTCAAAGTGATCATGTTTTAGGTAACAATAAGTGACAGTGTAATGCTCCTATTTACAACAAAACATGTAATGTACTTATATTCTAATTCAATTTTATTATTTGCATCTAAACAAGTGCCTAAATGTATAAAACTCCACTAAAATGCAGATGCCAATGTAAAATTACATATTGAGATCACAAATGACAGGTTAACATATATACAACTTTTAGAATGGGAATATGACATTTGCATTCTCCTCTAAATGGGTGATTTAATATAAATGTATGTGAACTGTGTTCTGGCATATTATACAGGACAGGTAGAGCTGGCTTGGACACGTCGGTTTCGGTTTGTATCAGGAGAAATTATCAAGTAAACATTCAGAAATTCCAGTTAAATTAACTGCACAGATTTACTGTGTTGGTGATATGCGAGAGTTGATAGATCATGTCATCTAAACCATCTCATAAAATGTTTGGTGGAAATGTGTCTGGTCTGTTTTTATCCCCATAACTCACCCAAGCAAGCATGTAAGATATAATCTCCAAAAAAAAAAATATATATATATATCATAATCATTCTGACTCTGTCAAACACAGTTGTGATATTATTTTGTGGAAAGCATTCCAACCAAACCTCAGGAAGATATTTAGCTATATCCTTATTATTGTGATTGATCCTGATTCTGTTGGGTAGATGGTATTTAACATACAAGTCACATATCATTTATCTGTGAGTGATATAGCCTACCAAAGAAAAAATTATAAATGTCTCCTTTTTATTAAAAATAAATAAATAAATAAACTATGTGATATAATTTTGGCTATATGTGGAGCTATAAGAGTTGCAGATGAGGTCTCTAGTGTACAAAGACTGAACAGTGAGTACTAGGTAAGCTATCAATTACTACATGTATCTCCATCAAGTGTTCAGTGACTAAAACAGTGCCATACTCCTACTAGTGGTGAGATGGAAATACTGCAGTTTACCATGAATAAAGTGGATGTCTTAAAGCCTGGAGATTCTTACAATGGTCTTATTTCTTTTTTAAGTAATTCCAGTCTAAAATACATCTAATGGCTGGTTAATTTCCTATTTAACTGCTGTTTAAGTGCCTTGCAGATCTAGTATGTCATATATATTTGTATTTTCTTCCCCCTCCTCAAGTGGCATCATTGTAGTTGCAGTAAAGAATCAAAGCACATGTGGACTTTGCCTTGTTGTGGCCATTTCTGTCATGAAATCACATGTGGATGTAATACATAATTGGCCTGCTCCAGAGACGCATATATACTGCCCTAGGCAAATTCGAGTCTCCAAAACAGCTTCACTTTTCCAAACTACTGCAAAATGAAAGGGGGAGGGGGAAACGTCTGGAAACTCTCTCTCAAGACACAGATCCAAGGCATGCAGTCCATTGCCAAGACTTTGCACCTTCTCAAAGAGGAACAACTTTTCTTTCACTGCTCTTGCCATTATAATGCTTACTGAGTGCAAATTGTCCAATTTTGGATAATTTATGGTGCTATATTACTGTCACCTTTAGGCGTAAGCCAAGCAATTATACATAAAAAACACAAGTGGTTCAAATCAAGTTAGCCTCTCTCTCAGAGCACATTTTAATAAACGGTATAATTTCAGGGTGCAAATGAGGGGAGACATTTTTTTAATGGTGTGATAAGTATATATTTGGCTGTTAAACAATTAATCGCAATTAATCACATCCAAAAAGTTTGTGTTTACATATGTGGGTGCACTGTGTATAATTATATATATATATATATTATATATATATATATATATATACCCACACATGCATGTATATTTAAGAAAAAAAATATTATTTGTATATAAAATATTTATATTTATATATAATATCAATTGTATATAAATCTATATACATGAAAATATTTCTTAAATATATGCAAGCATGTGTGTGTATTTATATACTGTATATAAAATAATTATCCACAGTGCACAAACTTTTATTTTGGATGCGATTAATCGCGATTAATCATTTGAAAGCCCTAGTATATATTATTTTTTATAAAAATTATCTTTATACATCTCTTTTTCACATAGCTTATATTAAACAAAATATATGTAGCCTATATTTAGTGCTCTAAATAAAAGCTTTCCAACAACAGACATCGTGAGGTATAACAGAGGAACATTAAAGTGGAAATGAAGCAGTCAGTCAAATTTACATTTTTTACTGAACGGATTTCCACTCTAATCCAAAATTGCATAACAAACATGATCAATGTAGCTATTTTAAAGAAAAATCATATTGTGTTATAGCTTTTGTGGCCAGTGCTCTGCCATCTTACAGACACAGTACTTCCATTTGACCTATAAATTTACATCATCTCTGCTGCACTTTATAGATAAACTTATATCACATCACCAAGTAATTGACCAATAGAGAGCTCCAGTGCTATTTGTAAGACAATTCTAGTGCTATTTGTAAGACAATTCCAACATACGAACAACAAAAGAAATCAATGATGTACCACAAAGCCAATGGCAAATCCTCCAGGATTAATTGACAGAGCTAATACATGGATCCATAAACGGTAGATGCTCCCATGATGACATGATTCATGGTTCATGAAGCAGCCATGAACAAGACAGTCTGATGCTGAGAAAAGAGCTTTGCTCAGCATCAAATATCCACCATTTGCATAATGTTTGAAATGAATCATCGAATCCTCTGTGGGACTCCACTAATGGCTATTAGAAAATGATTACACCGCAGTAATTTGCCAGTGATTATGCTGTGATAAGCTAATGACCCGGCACCCTGCAGCCGAGTCCAAGGACTCTAATTACATGCAGATTAGTTAGCACATGTCAAGACCTTAGGACAAGTGCACATATTCTACAGCAAAGCAGCTATCACTAATGATCTCTTCATTAATTGAATGATATATTACAGTTAAAAGAGATGCTGATATTTGAGTCTTGAAAGTTGTACTGCCCTAGTGAAAAAAACCTATACCAATGCCTATATTTCACACCAAGTACAAATCCATTAAAGGGATAGTTCACTTTGAAATTAATTTTTGATATGTTTTAGCTTACCTCGAGGGCATCCAAAATGTAGGTGTCTTTGTTTTCCGCGGTAGTTTCAATTTTGAAATTTTAGGTCAAACCGTTCTTGTCTGTCAGTCATATAATGCAGCTAGGTCTATGGTCACCACCTCAAAGAGCATGCACAGAGAAATCCAAATTAAACATGATTTCGTAAATGTAAGTACACATTGATGGCCTAAGACACAAAACGAGCATTTTGTGTGAGAAAACGAACAGTATTTATATCGTTTTTACCTCTTGTAACCACAGCCAAGTGATCTGAGGGCGCTTCGGTCTGTGACGCAACGTCACTCATTGTTTACATAGAGATTTCGGAAGTGTCACCCTTCAGAAGATCTAAACATATTTAGATATACAGGAAATCGTACAGACAACGTTGATTTTTTTTCCGCAACTATGCAAGGGATCACTTCCAGCGTTTGCGCAGACCGAAGCGCCCGTGCCCTCAGATCACCTGGATGTGGCTGTGGTTACAGGAGGTAAAAACTATATAAATACTGTTCGTTTTCTCACACAAACTGCTCGTTTCATGTCTTAGGCCATCAATGTGTACTTACCGGTACATTTACGAGTCATTTAAAATTTGGATTTCTCTGTGCATACTCTTTGAGGTGGTGACCATAGACCTGCATTATATGACTGACAGACAAGAACGGTTTGACCTAAAAATATCAAAACTGAAACTACTGTTTCCACAATGCACAATTCTTAATATTAAACCTGTTTTAATATCACTATTAGTAAGGATAGTAAGATCACTGTATAATATCTGTCTTTAAATGCTATTTAAAGTGTACCTAAAGTATACTTCCAATAGTTCCACTTTAGCACCATCAAGCATACTTTAAGTAAATCTTTATTTGGACCTTACTTACGTCTAACTTAAGTATTACGTACAAAATTAGTTGTTCCAATTTAGCATATCAATTTAGTATACCAAAAGTACAATTTCAGGGTATTTATATTAGGTTGCCATAAATATGCAAATGTCTTGGCATAAAATAAATGTATTTCAAATACATTATGGAATTTTTTTTTTCATTACAGGGTGGATAAAGAGATAATTTAAAACAGCTCAAACATGCATTTTTGTCTGAGACTATAGGTTTAAGCTTGGTCTGTGAAACCGGGCATGGGTGTTTTATTTTAAGCCAGGCCTACAATAGCATGTGTATAGTATCATTATGTATTTACATACTTTGTTAAGATGCTTAAAGGGTTAGATGAGATCAAAGTTACACATTTGGAATGACACAAGGGTGAGTAAATGATGACAGAAGTTTCATTTTAGGTGAACTATAAGCATATTCAACATCTCCTTTAAAGATGAGTATGCAGTATGCAAAACCCTCTGGGAAAACTATTAAGATGTTATGATAGCATCCCACAAGCTAAACTTTTAAAATGAGCTATTTGACTTAAAATAAAACACATAAAACTCTAGTCCTTATTGGCCATCTAAATTCAAGTAGCACCTACTCAATTCTATTTAAATGTAAATTATTATTATGACCTAACATCACACAAAAATTCTTTTCAGTTGTGGTTAAGGTTCAATCATGGAAAACAAAAAACAAAAAATAAAGCAATATGAGATGTTTGACCCTTTACAGATATGTTTCTGTGGTGTTGTGCTTTATCCCAACTATATGAATCATTTTCATGTGCTTTGTATTTCAGTTTTGGACACACCTCAAAGCTTAATTCCATTTTCTAACACAGATAAACAATGTTAAATGCCGCATGTTTACAGAAATACAAAGATGATGCATGAGGTTTGGCCTGAAGCGGCAGTGTTTAGGGGTTGGGAGTGGGACTGTGTCCAATTACTGGGTGTCTTGGCTAAAGTAGACTGGTTGGATTTGTTCTGAATAAAAACAAGAGTAAAGTGTGACAACCCTAAATAAAAAAACTATGGAAAGTACCTGTAGTGCAGCAAGCATGGAGTATTAAAGCAACACAGAATAAAATAATATATTGGTGAAATGCAATGCAGGTAAAATCAAACAACTTGTTCACACTTAAACAATTAATTATATAACTTAACCTAAGACTAGTTATATAAGTAAATTTGCCATTGCACAACAAACATATTTTACCCATTCTCTGGATAACTATCTGGAAAAATACGTGAAGCAGGTCTACCCCCTTCTATACGTGAAGCGTTGTCTCCCCCTTCTGGTGACATGTAATATTGCAGCCTAAACAGAATTATCTTATTTAATTATAGAATTATCTGATTTAATTAGAATTATATTGATCAAATAATTATGTTGCATTTGAGAACACTACAAATGATTAGGGCTGTGACAGCCACATAAAGACATGTGTCCCCTATAGTGTATAAACCCTTATATGGTTTTTCAGTGTTTGATTCTTAACCCTCAAACTGTAGAGTTCAAAGTATCAACATTTTATGACTAAATGTTGAATCAAGTAGACAGTATAGGTAGTGGGTACT